TTGATTTAATGGCCATACCAGTAATCATTAAGTGCTTTATGAAACTTTGAAGCACAGAGAGAAAGTTCAGTTCAAATAATCATTCATCTTCTAATAAACTGAGTAAATATTCCATTCAAACAAAATCCCAGTTACTGTATTCACTAAAATGCCAACTAACTAGAAGTTACAGTTTGTAGATTCCATTCAACTTTTGCGTATCCATCATAATGTTCCAGGAAATATGCACACACACACACACACAAAACATGAACACAAGAAGACACAAAAACCACTGGAGTTCAGCTGCTGAACTGAATTCCATGCAGGGTAAGTGGAGAGGGCACATCACAGCATGCCTCGTGGATTTCTGTAGTCAGTTTTTAATATACATGCTATGGCAAAGCTAAACTCTCTCAAGAGACTAAACAACCGATAGGAAAGTCTCCCCTGGTAAAAACTCTACATGAAAGATTTTTTGATACATTACGATTGTAATGAAAATACAAAAAATTAAATACTTGATATTGTAGTTAAAGAACTTAAGTGCTGAATTCAGGAAAATTAGTGGCAAAATGCACAGTCATTTTCACAGTAACAAAATCTTAATCACTCCCTTTAATTTTTATTTATTTCCCCTTTTTTACCTGCCATCTCAGGCTTTTCAACAGACATTACGTTGCACGCCTCATACAATATATTTAAACTGCCACTTAGTTTTGTGAAATCTGAAACAATTAATTGTTAAATACTGAAAAGAAATTACTATACTGGAATTTATTACCACATTTGGGAATAACTGTATATGGCCTTTGGTTAAGGTCCAGCAGATATTCCAGTACTGTCAAACCCCCTCTTTGAATCCCCAGTGCTTTTACACTTGCTAATGTCTCATCTTGATGCTACAAGTTTGACTATTTTAGGGAGCATTTGCAGGAAATAAAGAAATTAAAGACATCCCTCCCCATCCCTAGTCTCCAGTTTCGTTTTACTAAAGTACTATTATAGTTTGGATCAAAGTAATTACTATAAGCAGTTTTAAAATGTTCCTGTAACAGATTGTTGGGTTTTTTTCTTGAATTGTTCAATACTCAGTATATAAAGCCAGACTATTTTGTGGCCTTTAGCTATTTACATATGAACATCAACCTCACCCAATCTAAAGTTTAAGAATCAGATTTCAGCTACAATTATTGATATCTTTCCTTTCCAAGATAGTTGGGGATTAGAAATTAAAATGAATGTAACAGGTGTTAACAGCACAAATATTAACTGGCATTTACTAAGACATCATAAATTATTTGTCCAGCTTTCCAGAGATCTACTATAATCTTCCACGAAGTCCCCAAAAGATATGAGCATTAGAAGACTGGTAGCACAAAAAAAAATACAAAATACAAATGAGTGCAAAATACTCAGATATTTGATATTTGTGCGCCACGCAACAGGGCAGTTCCACATCATGGTGAACAGTTTGGCTATAATCCAACAAAGCATTTAATTATATGAGATAAGCTAATGCTAAGCATGTCTTTAGCTGCTTTTTCAGGCTATGGTTAACATATTGAATCATGCAGGGCACTACTGTAAAAAGTCAGCACTAAAATATTTTATAATTTTCAAGAATAATTAAGCAGTTGACTTTGAAAAAATATTCAAAAATCAGTCAGTAATTTGATACTATTATTATAATCGTTATTCCTTCCAAACAGCTTCAGGAACTGCAAAGCTACGTGTTCCAGTGGCAGGTTACAGTTGGGTATGAGGTTGTTTAGCCTGGGGTTTTTTGTTGGTTGTTGGGTCTTTTTCCCCTCCTCACAAAATAATCCCTACCTAGTAAGAGGCCCTCTTTCAACTCCAGTATAAAAAGCCAAATGAATTTCAATACAATTTTATACAAACTGCCAGTGGCTGCAAGTACTTCTTAATACGAAAGCCCTCACACTGCACTAAATTTCATGGAAAAAATAGCATCTTAAGCCTGCAGAAAACAAACTAATCCACCTCTCTCTACATGTATCTTTCCATTTGCCCATCAGAATTAAGGACAACTTTCAAATTAGAATAGAGAAGGGTGTCCTGTAAGCATGTTTCATTTGCTTTCTTGTTCATGAAAATGCTCTGGCCCTTTTTTATTAACAGCTTTCATTTAGCACTCAAAATAATGAATCATGTGATAATTAAAGGCTGAAGGACCAACAACAACCACAAAACCCACAAAAAAACCCAAACCAAAACACCAAGATCCTGCCAGAAACAGTTATACTGTTAGCAAAGGCTGTCTCTTAGTACTTCACCGTCACTTCTACTCTTTTTGCCACATAAACAGTTTTTCTAGTTCTTCTCTGCAGAAGGTTTCAGTGATCATTATTACAGTACCATTTATGTAACAATTCTGCATCAGAATTGTTAACAGACAAAGCAGAGGTATCATTATTTTTCATGAAAGCACTAGAATAAGAAAGATTAAAATTTCAGTTTTCCTATTAAGTGTAAGTCCAAATAAAATACATTTTTATATATATATATATATAAAGACATATTCATATGTCAAGGTTTCAGTATGTTTCTTTTCTACAAATGACAACCATAGTCTCTAGGAGACCAGCAATGGCACACAACCACCCATGAACACAGAGAATACACTGCACATCCAAGAATATTACAGCTAGTCAAAATCAATTCCACTGATTCTTTAGTGCCAGATCTATTCTGGCTTTTTTTTTTTTTCCCTCTTTTACAGTTAATGTTTCAGACACCATCTTGCTTCATAATGAAGACCTGATTAGCAGACAAAGTGAAAGCAGTAAAGATTTGATTACCTTCTAATCAAACAGATTTGATTATCTTCTTCAAATATCGTTATGTTGGCATGAAAGTGTTTGGCTCTCACAATGCCTTTCTTATTATTTGAAACATGAATAGGTTCAGCGGCACAGAAGCACAATGAGGACAATTCAGTACATCTTTCATACAGACAGAACAAACATTGCTTTCTACGTTCACCAATACAAAGGTCTAATAGGAAGTCCTTACTATAGAGCATATCCACATCCCACAGCAGTAACGAGAATTTTTTTACCAAGAAGAAATCAATTTAAAAAAAAAAAACATCATGATTATACAAGTGAATAACTTGCCTATATATAAAATTACATTGTCTCCTGAATATTTATTTTGTCAGAATATACAGTTTAAAAAAAAATTCCATAAAACAGCTAGCATTACCTCTTCTGGCTGAGGTAGATACAACAAAAGAAGTAAAAAGATCGTATCAATTAAAAAACCCCTACACTACTAGTACCATTAAATGTGCTTATTAGAGGGATTTAATTAATTTAATTTAATTAACAGGAAAGAAATACTAGGCCAAAATTCATGAGAACATTATAAACATTTCAATTTTATTCTGCATTCTTCTGCCACTTGTTTACTCAAGGGTGCAAGATCACAAATTATTTTTTTTAATTTTTAAAAGGTACTTTCTCCATTTTCTCTCTTGATTGACCAGCTTTTCTCTATATGTTGTGTGCTAACTCAATTTCTATCAGTTTCCCTCAACAACTTTCTAAAATAATTTCCCTCCTTACTCAATAATGGCTTTATGAGTACCACACATTCCCCTCAGTACCCCTAAAATAGTGCCTTGCTGTTCCATGTGAAGGAGAAAACCCAGAATATCAAAGATCCCATCTCCACAGACCTCAACTGTATGGGAAAAACAAACACTTGGGATTTCGTCATTCTGATTCAAGAAAAAGCTGCTTCGAACACCGAGAAAGAGATTCAGACAATCTCTTGCCACCTGAAATCCTTAGGCAAACGAATCAAGTACATTTAAAAAAATATTTACTGTGTTAATGTTCATTTTCAGAAATGGACAGCTAACACGAAGGTGCCAATTTAACCACTACGTATATGGTGACATAAGGAAAACAAAACGTAAGTGGAACATGTGGAAGATGTAGTTTCAGTAACCTGTCATTTACAGTGCTTCTCTCACAGCTGCTCTCCAAACTAGAATGTTACTTTCCAAAATAAAAACAGGATCCCTAACATAACAACTTTCCTCAGGTTCATCTACAATTTCTACAGTTCATACAGGCCAGAGAGACAACTACAAATGCAACACTGACTAAAACATAGGATCCTAGCTAGAGCATGCATTAATCAGAGATGTGTTTGGTTAAGTCTCCTTTAAGGATTTATCCATGTACATTTAGGAATAAAGAAACAAGCATCCATGTAGCACAATTACCTTATGTTTCAGTTACTCTCCCCAAAATGTACTACTACTAAAACTTGACATTTCCAAGAAGAAAACGGCTTAAATAAATTGTTCAGCTGAAATATATGTACTGTTAATACAACAAGCCCTCTTCTCTGAGAAGATACCATATCAATTCCTTCATACACTGCTCCACTGCTGCAAGAGATTATTTTTTTCCTAGGGGAACAAGAGAGAACTAAGCAAAAAGATCATCCTTAAAATTTTACTAGAATTTTTGTACATAGTTCCATTACTATAAACTCTTTCCCATCTCACTGCTCCTGACTCTAATACACTGTTGAAAATACCATTTGTTATTCACATCTGATAGAGCATTATTCACCCACATTCATTTTTTAACCTATACTATGCTTTACAAAAAGAATAAGTAGATTTTGACAAGGGATGAGATGGCGTATCTACTGATCTAACATACATGTCCACTCCTCTTCAGTCTTTTCCATTCATAAGAAGTCTTTTCTATTCTGTGTTTTTACAAACGAGCTTTGTGAAGGGAGATTTTAAACCACTGTCTTGCCATACTTGCTCTATTTTCAGAGAGTTTCTATACACATGTTGCTTTCTGCAGATTTTGAAGAAATGTTTTTTATACATGAAATAGTAAAAGCAGATGACTCGGTCAAAATCTAAAACATGAGGTCAGAAAGTAAAACATTTTGAGTTATGTACTACAATAGTGATTACTGTGAGTCAGTCAAAACTAACATAGTTGTAAGTTAGAAATCATCACCTGGGAAGAAATCTGAAGACTCCTGAATAGCAGAAAGACAACAGCAGAAGGCAAAACTGGACTAGAAGGCTGTAAGCAGAAGGAAAGAGCTTGTCAAACAGCGAAAACTAAAAAAAAAAACCAAAACAAAACACCCAAACAAACAAAAAAAACCCACACCTTTTTTTCAGACCCCCAATATTTGGTCCAGCTAGCTTTAATTTTCAAAAAAAAATAGTTATCAAGATGCAGTCAACTCATGGATGAAACAAGATAACTGACTTCCACAGCAAGGGGAAACATCACTTGGAGTTCTGTAGAAAGATGTTCTCTGCCAATTTAAAAGCAACTTTATTTCAATATAGATACATATTGTGCAAGTCTTACATTTGCATACGGTGATAAATTCAATTGCATACAGTGATACATTCAGCTGCATGAGTAAGAAGTTTTTATTTAGTAGCATTTCCAAGTGATATCCAAAAAAAAATTTTTTTAAACAAGTATTATTTTTTAATCTCACAAGTAGAGGAGAATTCAGTTCAGAATTTGGTACTGTCCTAAACAGACTTAACTAAGTATCACAATCAACAAAGCCACAAGGAGTACAATTATGATGCTAAAGCTAGAACTAGCAATACTCTAAACGAGAAAGATGATCCAACTTCTCCAGTGACACAACACACTAAGTGTAAACCAGCCGGAAATTTACTGCCTTGTGATTTAGAATCGTAGGTGTTCAAACCACAGCTGACTTTGGCATTGTCTTTGGCATTGACAACACTATGGCTAAACACTTACTGAACACAAAACTACATACACTAGCTTTAGCATCCCAAAAGAACCTATGTCAAAATAGCTTTTTAACAGTACACACAAAATATGAAAAACTTAGCAGTGGAACAGAAGAAAATTATGAATATTTTTATTCCAATGTCCAAAGCCCAAGCATATTCAATATTCTGTGGTAGAAACAGAAGCAATAAAGAAGCAGCAATGAGGCAAACAATGCACAGTACTTCAACCATTTACATGTCAAAAAGGAGTTAGCAGTGTGTTGATCAATTACATTTTATTTTAATGTTATGCATTTTCTTCCAACAGTTCCTAACTCCCCTCAGTGTTAAAGCTATCCCAGTATCTCAACAAAATACCACAAAAAAGATACACATATTAGTACAAGTATTCCTTTCTTTTCTCTTTCTCAAAAAAATATGTCCATGCGCACCTTGTGAAACAATCCAACATGCTAAGCCATTTCCTTAAATACTTGTCGGTAACTGCTTACCTCACCACAAGTATTGGCCACAGAAAATCATCCCACAGTTGCTAGCAATCTTACATAAAAGGTATTACCCTCTTAAAAATTCTTGTAGAGAAAAAAACAGAAAAGAAAAAAAAAAAAAAAAAGAGAGAATAAAATATTTACAAAGGTATCTTTTCAATCCTGTGAATTTTTAATTACTGAATAATAATGCAGGTCTTAAAAAGTATTGCCTGATAAATGATCGCTGCCCACTACAGAGCCTCTCAAGTATCACATCTGTTAAAATTTCATGGAGTCAGAGGCTTCAACGATGTCTGAAAATTCTCTATTTTTCACCACTGAGATTAAATGGAAAAAGAAAAAAGCATAATGAAATTATTTGGAGGCTTATTCAGAAAATGGTGGATAAAATCAAGAGCTTCAATGAAAAGTGAGCATTACAAAAGAACTGTGAACTAAGGTAAATCTACATTTGTGACTTAACAAAAAAATCACATCTACTGTAATGTAGCAAAAGAAGAACTACTGCATGCACAGAGTATTGGTGTTAGTTCTTATTGCAGAAGTATCAGAAGTATCAGAAATATCCATAAGGACAGGCTTCATTGAAAGAAATGTGGTTTTATCAGTCACACTCAGCACTCAAAATGAAATAAAGGTCTTGAAGATGTAAAGCAGAATACAACGTTAAGACACAAGCACTTGAACAGCAATATAAGAGGAAGAAGAAAGCATCACACATGTCACTGCATGTTTACCTATAAAAACTTCTGCCTTTCAGAAAAGACATTTTATTATCTTCGATCACGTGGCCATGTGTCACCATTACTGACTAATCACAAGAGACCGTGAGTCTCCCCATTCCCTTCACCAAAGCATAGTGGTTTCTTCCATTTAAGTCAGGGACTCATGTCAAACTCCCAGTTCTTAATACCATGTTACAGATACTACATATTACAGAACTTTACAAGGAAGAAGCTCTGAGATACAGCACATTTTTTTTTATTTTCCTCTTGCTCCAAACTGATTATCTTTCATTGCTTCATAACCTCTTTCAACAGAACAACAGTTTAAGAAAATGACTCCTCACCCCATCATAACAAAATTAATTCTTTAGCCTAAGGCAAAGGAAAATGAACCATTCAAAACCAGATCTCTAAAAAAAGCAAGTTAACTGCCAAAAACAGCTCCTATTATACTGTTTTGGAAAAAATAGTAATTATTAAATGAACATATTTGTAATAGATGAAAACGAACATGGCAACCAGAAAAATAGAGTGAGAAAATAATTTAAGTTTTTACTGCTGGAAAAATCTCTTCAGAAAAAAAATAAATAAATAAATGCTATACAACAGTGCTTACAGAGTTTGCGTAAGATCATATATACTAATACGTAGCAAGCTGTGTATTTTCATGAGAAAATTGTGGTTTATAATTACATTTAAAATTATTTTCCTTTGGAAAAAAAGCTTAGTTGTTATTATCTTTGTTGCAAGTGAGTATCACAGAAAATACTATTTAAAAATAACCAGGTGAATCAAAAACAAACCTCGTGAGATGTCTGTCATGTACTTGTGACATGTTAATGAATTAAAAAACAACATTGACAGCCATAAAACTGGAACTCAGCCAGACCTTGGAATAACAAAGCAGAATAACTGTTACAAAAATAAATCTATAAATCCTCTTAAGAATTAAAAAACAAACAATTGCTCTATCCTTTTAGCAAAACAGTAAAATGCTCCTTGGGAAATCTTACACATTCTACAGACTTAATTTAGACCTGTATCTGCAGGTCCCAAGGGAACTGGCAGATGAAGTGGCTAAGCCACCATCCATCATATTCGAGAAGTCATGGCAGTCCAGTGAAGTTCCCACTGACTGGAAAAGGGGAAACAAAATTCTCATTTTTAAAAAGGGAAAAAAGGAAGACCTGGGGAATTACAGGCCAGTTGGTCTCACCTGTGACCGGCAAGAGCATGGAGCAGATCCTCCTAGAAACTCTGCTAGGTCACATGGAAAATACGGAGGTGATTGGTGACAGCCAACATGGCTTCACTAAGGGCAAATCATGCCTGACAAATTTGGTGGCCTCCCACAACAGGGTTACAGCATTGGTGGAGGTCATCTATCTGGACTTGTGCAAAGCATCTGACACTGTCCCACACAACACCCTTGTCTCTAAATTGGGGAGATGCTGATTTGATGGATGGACCACTTAGTGGATAAGGAATTGGCTGGATAGTCACAGTCAAAGAGTTGCAGTCAATGGCTCGATGTCCAGGTGAAGAGCAGTGACAAGTGATGTTCCTCAGGGGTCAGGGCTGGGACTAGTGCCGTTTAACATCTTTGCTGGTGACATGGCCAGTGGGAGTGAACCAACGACAGCAAGCTGTGTGGTGTGGGCAACAGGGCAGGGATGTGCCATCCAGAGGCACCTGGACAGGCTGGAGAGGTGGGACCATGTGGACCTCATGGAGTTCAACAAGGCCAAGTGCAAGGTCCTGCACATGGGCCAGGGCAATCCCAAGCACA